CTCCTTTCTGTTTGAAACCTGTTCTTCTATTGTCCTTTTTCCATTGTAATATTTTCCCAGTTGCTTTCACTTTCAATAATCACTTGTGCCATAGTGGCTTTATCGCCTTGCTTCGTGCCAAATGATTAAAAATATAGTTTGATCCTCACAGAGTGATCTGTACTCGTGGTCCTTAAATTAGAATAGTTCTTAATTCCACATTTACCCCAATTTACTTCTCTGGACCGACTTATCAAGACATTATATTTGTTCTTAGATTTATTTCACCAAATTGAAATTGAAAACATGGAGAGATTATAAACTTTTCTAGCATTAGAATAACTGTTTATACCATTTTAATCTCAGTAATGACTTCATAAATCTGTGTTAATGAGTATTACCAGCCCGGTGTTTAAAACTATTAGACGTTATTTACAAATTCACTAAAAAATAGATAGCAATTTTAAGAAGTATAAAATGAAGTTACAGTAAAACCAAATCCGTAGATATTATTAACATTTCTTATACTCACCTACTGCGCCAATTCTTTGTACTTCAAGAATTGTGGCATTGACAAATGGTAATTCGTTTTTATCTGCCATTGTAACCATTCGGCTAAACCCAGTCAGCTTTAAAATATAAGAAAGATTATCTTGTAAATTAATGCCCTTAATGATTAAATCTCCGGACATATTTATGGCCAGGCATAACATTGCTTAACTTTCGTTGTCTAAATAACAATTTTATTTGTATTCCTATTGACTAACATTAGACATGTTATTGCAAAAATAATATGTGGAGGCAACAAAAGAACAAACTTGCGTGATTTCTAATTTTAATATTATTTTATTACCTGTTTTTAATGCAAAAATATTTTTCTATTATTAACCTGGTATATAAGAAACCAAACCAGAATAATTACATATGGCTTCATGACAGCTATGGTCATCATACTGTAATAAATTCCAGTTCATAATATTCTTCTAATCATATTTTTGCTTAAAAGATCATGGCACTATTTTGATTTGAGGGAACTTATGACACATCTTGTAATAAAATTGTAGAAAACTGAAATCGTTTCAATTTTGGTATATGCTAATTTACTTATTGCACCAAGAACACAATTATCAAAAAAAAGAAAAGTAATTTACAAAAGTATATTTTTATACTAATGTCCATCCAATAAAAAAACCTAAGAAGCATTCAAGGAACAGGTTTATTCTGTGGTGTCGCATGACCGTAAGAAAGGACAAACGGTGAAGTTGATGGGGTTATGGAGAAAAGATAACTTTTAACCATAGACTTGAAGAGGTCAAAATTGTAGTGATTGGGAAAACCTCCAGACAGGTCTTTGTTCTATAAAGCAGCCGTTTTTAATGAAAGAATTTATGTTCCTTCTTCAGAAAATGTGAAGAATTCTATAGGATTGACAGACTTTTCTCTGACATCTATGTGCACGCCCCTGTCACCCACATATGATAACCTAAGACCGTATTTCAATTCATATCACTGAAATTTAATTGGGTGTATGCGTTGTGTGTATATTTTTAGTGTTATAGAGATGTTTTATTTTCCGAACACAGCACATTATGGCCGTGTTCGTAGTTAATAGTATTAGGTGTTGGCTTTTTCTTGTTTATTGTTAAGGCTTCTATTATTTTTAACCTTTTTTTTTTGCATTTGGATGAAGTTATTATACTTGTACTTTCTATGTTTCGGGTGTTTCTAAAAAACACGCACACAACGCACACACCCAATTAAACAGAAAAAATAAAATCAACCCTGATAATGGCTAAATGTATAGTCGAAAGCGCTCGGAATCATAGAACTTTTGGACAGTTTCTACACACTAAGAAAACACTTTTACGAACACAAGAAAAATTAAATAAAAAGTTTAATAGTAGTACTTTGTCTGTTGTTTTTAATGAATGTTTAACCAAATACCAAACACCTTACTCGAAAAATAATAAAAATAAAATAAAACAGACAGACCATATTTATATATATATATAAATATATAAATATATATATATATATAAAAAGAAATATGTTGTAGTGGTTCCAACGAGAGAAAAGTATGTATATTAAAAGAAGAGAAGAGGTGCCGCAAACGTTTTTGGTTGTAATGTGGATTTTTTCTAAATAAATCCACATTACAACCAAAAACGTTTGCTAAAGGCATTTTATAACATACAGGGGTATGTACTGCAAACACAAAAGCAACAGAGGCAGTGTCTAGGCTAAAAACTTCAGATCAGACCGATCCGTTTAAAAATTGATTTTAATGTCACAGTCGACCTTTTCATAGACTTGTTTCCCTAACACTGTGAAAGAATCAATGTTGTTATCTATTTGTCTTACCTTTTGTATCTCCTCTCGACATTGATGTTGTATCTTTGGGTATTTTGTCAGGTACAAGAAACCCCAGAGTAAAGATGTCGCTGTTGTTTCCGAACCAGCAGTAAACAAATCAACAATTGTACGGAAGATATTCACCTCTGGAGAAAACCAATCAATTTAAAGAAAGAAATGTAAATATCATCTGAAAACCTTTTAAATATAGGTATTAAATATTCATCTATTTGCATATTCATTTAAGCAGTCATCTAGCATTTATTGATAATGATATTAGTAAATTCAATATTTAAATCTTACAACAAATATAACAATATAGAATATGAATAAATCTAAATTAACGAGTATGACTATTTTTCGGCTGATAATTATATTTCAATATGCCAATATTATTTTTATACGATATAATCATATAACTTATACACACTTTATATATTATATATATATATATATATATATATATATATATATATAGAGAGAGAGAGAGAGAGAGAGAGAGAGAGAGAGAGAGGGCGATGGATAAAATGTCATTTAAAAACGAAAATAACACTGACATCTCATTTTAACAGATATATTTACCCGAATTACACAAAAAGCATCTTGAAATACTAAAGTAAATTTATTCTATAAAATCGCCATTGGCTTCAACTACAGACTTCAGACGACCTCGCAATCTTTTGCATCTCTTCTGGTCGGTGATTGCTGCCATAGACCTTGCCTTCAGTTCTTCTTTGGTGTTGCAATTAGTTTTGTTGGTCTCTCTCTCAGTTGTGCCCCACACATAATAATCAAGGGTGTTGCAGTCTGAGGCAGTTAAATGACCAGACGTAAGAGGTGACGTGGTCGCAGAAATTGCCTGACAACAATGACTAGGTTCTCCTGTTTGTGTGGTATGGTGCAGAGTCCTGTTTTCAGGCATAGGGACTTCCAGCAGCCACTTTCTTGATCCAAGACAGCACTACCTCCTCAAAGCAATTGATGTAGACCTCCATGTAGAGTCTGAGACACTGTGGGAATTTGAATGAAGTTATTTTCTTATTAGAACAGTGAGTTTTCCGATCTGCTGTACCTTCGTAATCACCATTAGAATCCCACAACTGCATTGATTGACACTCAAACACCCCGAAATGTTCGTATTGGACCTTCCGTTAATTTTAAATGCCAAATATATATATATATTTTAAATTAATAAACTGTAAGCCGAGTATAATATGCAAGTTCGCCAATATTACGCTAAGAATATATTTTTATTAAAATTTAAATTAGGTACCAATCAGTCTATGCTCAGCAGCGGAAGATTGTGCTGTGCATGAAACTCCGAGGGATGATATGCATATTTATCAATATATATATATATTGGAATAATATATATGATATGCATATTTATCAATATATATATATATTGGAATAATATATATATATATATGTGTGTGTGTGTGTGTGTGTGTGTGTGTGTGTGGCTCAGATTGAGAATATATATATATATATATATATATATATATATATATATATATATATATATATTTACAGATATATAAGGCGCTCCTTAGGATTACTCTTTACTTTGGAGGTTAAACACTGGACGCTTGTTTTCGCCTTGTTTTAATGTTATTGGTTCTTTCTTTTTTTTTTTTCCCATTTTTGCTCAGGCACCATTTGTTCTACTGCAAGTTGAGCTATCCGAGGTTTTTCCAAACGAATAAAAACATTAATATATATATATATATATATATATATATATATATATATATATGTGTGTGTGTGTGTGTGTGTGTGTGTGTGTGTGTATATATATATATATAAGTGGACATTGAAGTCAACACTTCTATGCTATTATTTTTCTCGGCTATTCATATATACTATATATATATAGCCGAAAAAATAACAGCACACTCGTGGCCTGACGATTGCATGAAACAGACTGTCGCCTCTAAGTGTTGAATGTTCAATGTTTACACATTTATATCTTATATATATATATATATATATATATATATATATATATATATATATATATATATATATATATAATGTAAATAAATATTCATATGTTTATTTTGTTTTCTTTCAGTTTTGTATGTTCATATACAAATTTTGTTTTTTGCCTTATATGATTATATCATATGAAATGAATAAAAAAATTGATATTTTCATATAGGAATATACGTTACTGCAAAACACTTCAATTCAAAAATTCCTTTTGAATAAGTTGCAAATATTTTTCTCTAAATTTGCTTTGCAAATGACATACCGATTATAAATAAGTTTAGACTAAAAATTTGACTAAAGGTTTCTTTTATTATTTATATTTGCAACTAAAAGGTAACAAGATAACTACTAATTTATTTGAATTGAAAAAAATCGTTTAAAATGCATACTTTGCAGAAATCTTTTGAAGCCCCGATAAAATTCTTACCTGAACAAGATTCACTTTTCTCTTCCTTCGTCATCAGGATATACATATCGATAAAATCTCTTGGATTGCTGCCATCAAAGGTTTTGCGATGTTCCTTGATTTTCTCCCTAATATGGCTTCGAAGGACTTCGTCATTTTTAATCATATTATTTGCCTGATTAAATATTTAAAAAATACCTGGTTTAATGACAGCGACGCAATCTATTGTATATAAAGTTGGGTTTTGAATACAGAATTCAAGGCTCAAAAGATGGCTGCATTACTATCTTCTTGCTCATCAAAAAGACTAGTCTATATTTATCTCCCATCTCTGTCTGTCTGTCTCTCTCTCTCTCTCTCTCTCTATCTATCTCTCTCACTCTCACACTCTCTTTCTCTCTCTCTCTCTATATATATATATATATGCATTGTGACATGGCCTCTTTATTTGCATTAAAAGTAATTAAATTGAATTAAATCAAGCATTTGAAATGTTGATATTAAATATAAATCCCCAACCTAAAATGTAATACTTTCTCTTACATTCTTTCTTTCTGTTGCATCAAAATTGGATAATATTGAGAACTCGCAAACATCATCTGATCGTAGAACCACGTCACAACCAAACGGCCATGGCCGCTTTTGAATTGGTACAACGGTTCGGTTTGATTTCATACGTAGCATTCAACATTAGTTGCGTCCTTGCACTACTAACTCATCAGAAGAATGGTAGCCGTTACACCGAGAAGACGTGAGTTTTTCTTTTCTTCCGTGGTTTGGCTCTCAAGTAAAATTGTCTTTCGATCTTCCAGAGACGGAAAGTTAGAAACTTCCGGGTTTATCAGGAACATAAAAGCCAAGATGGACTGTATCCTCCATGAATGAAAAGCAAAGCGCTTTCAGGACGATAATCAAAACAATAAACATTGATTGAACGAAATATGTTGACATTTAATAGGAACAACTCAAGCAAAAAGAAAACAAGATTTGTCTCCCTTGAAATATTTATAAAAAAAAAAGTAAGAAAATAATGATTAAAAATTGTCAATAATATTATTGGACAGATAAGTAAACCATTGAAACTTTCTCTGATGACAGTCTTTATATATTTTTTTTTCTTTCTCCTATTCATTGTTTATCGTTTCCTTCATCTCCCATTCAATATTTTTATTATATTAAAATAAGTATAGCTTGACATGTCAAGCTTGTTTTCCATACGTTGTCTGTGCCTGGTGTTGGGTCCTAATTGAGAACATCCCACTTTTTTCTTTTAAGCGAACCGCGTTCGCATCCATACGTTTGAATTTTGTCAAGAGATAGAATTCGTAACAATATACACGCATATATATATATATATATATATATATATATATATGAGAAATATACTCTTAAGGTGTGCTATATTTATGGGATAAAGTGCTCAATATCAGAGATAGAGTGTGTTTAAATATAAAAGTGAACATTGAAGTCGACACTTAGAGGCGACAGTCTGTTTCATACTAGATGCAATAGCCTGACGATTGCATCTGGTATGAAACAGACTGTCGCCTCTAAGTGTTGACTTCAATGTTCACTTATATATTTTTACTGTTTTTAAACTACAATTCTCCATGAAAAATACGCAGGAAAACAACCACAATTATATATAATTAAAAAAATTGACATGCAGAAGAAAGATCATACTGAATCAATTGCTAGGTCAGCTTCTAAAAAAGTCGTTTCGCTGCGTCGTACGGGACATTTTTTTCTCCAGAATCTATCTTGCATATCTATAAGTCTACCATTCGTCCATACTTAGACTATTGCTACCACATATGATCTGGTGCTCCCGCTATATAGTTACAGTTCTTTGATAAAATCCAAAGGGGAATCAGCAATATTATTGGTCCTGATCTGGTGGCTCAACCCCAGTCACTTTCCCACCGCTTCATGGTTTCAAGCCAACTTTAATCTACAAATATGAAAATGCAATATCAATCGCCATCTATTGTCCACCTGATTACTATTCCCACTTCCCGCTCATTATTAATGTTTCTATTCCTAATTCTTGCACACCCTGTAACCCCTTGTGTCTTAGTGGCTTTACACCCTTGCATTGGATGATACCAATTTAATATTTTACACACACACACACACACACACACACATATATATATATATATATATATATATATATATATTTATTTAAGACGACCATATATATATTAAGCATTTTATTCAATTTTTCTTGCATTCCTATAATTTTTTTCTGGACATAAAAAACTGTTAAAATGTTTTATGTATCCGGGGTGCTTTCGGTTATTCTATTAACCATTATCGAGGGTGTTTCTTTTATCTTTAACTGAATATGTAGTGATAGGAATGTTTCGTTTCATTTTCCTGTCACGTGATTACATTAATTATAAATAGCAGACACGAGCTTGCTCTTTCTCTCTCTCTTCTCTTTTCCTGCAAAGATGTGACCTTGAAGGATTCTCGTCTCGACCATGGGCGGTCGGAAGTTAAAAGCATTTTCACGCGTGCACGTACGTACGAAAATTTTCAAAACTACATTACAAACATACAGAACATTTCAAACAAGCAACAAGAAATTTTCTCTTTGAAATAACCTTCCAAAAGCTAAAGTTTATTCAGCTTTATAATTCATTCAACATTTGTGAGCTCAGATAAAAATATTTCACAGTCAAAGGGACATAACACTAAAAATCTATGCATGTACATCATTTACACAAAAATAAATATAACTGCTGCTTGTTATAAATCATTTTGTTACTTCTTGTCTTTCATATTTTGTTCTATTTTACATTCAATATAAATTGTGTGGTCATGTTATTCACGCAGCCATAAACAAAGAACTACAATTTGTTCATTCTTATTAACAGTATCACAACATAATGGTAACCCCGACGTTTGAAATGGGACAAGAAAAGCCAATAATCAACAAAAAGGGTAATTGTTTTATCATTAACTGAATATGTAGATCTTTATATATTTCTATCTATAGTGATAGGAATGTTTCGTTTTATTTTCAGGACGAAAGAAATAAAAATAAAAACTTTACTCGAACTAAAGCTCAGTCTAAGCCACGTGCGTCTCAGTGGCTTTATTGCCGTGCTTGGGGTAAAATTATTAAAAATAAAAAATGAAAATATCAATATATACTTCAATTGAAAAATATGAAAATGTAATAATATTGTTGAATTACTTAAGAGTATATGAAAATGTACACGTTTTGTAGAAATACTTACGGGTGAATTCTTGCGGATGTACTGAAGCCAAGGGAAGAAGTTTTCGGGTAGTTGTACCCCAAAATTTTCAAAGAAATAATCAAATATCTGAATAAATTCATGAAAATTTGGGGCTGTGTATTCTAATCTGGAAAGTCAGAGAAAATACATTTATAACTGAAATGCATTCATATTAAAAAATATTTTGTACAAAATATTTTTCATTATGTTCATATCTATCTATCTATCTATCTAAGTGTTCATTTCTATCTCAGTGTTTATTTATATCGATCTATCTAAGTGTTCATTTCTATCTAAGTGTTCATTTCTATCTATCTCAGTGTTCATTTCTATCTATCTCAGTGTTCATTTCTCTCTATCTATCTAAATATCTATCTATCTATCTCAGTGTTCATTTCTATCTATCTATCTATCTATCTCAGTGTTCATTTTTCTATCTATCTATCTATCTATCTATCAGTGTTCATTTCTCTAACGATCATTTCTATTTCTCAGTTTTCATTTCTAACGATCTATCTATTTATTTCTATCTATCTATCTCAGTGTTTATTTCTATCTATCTATCTCAGTGTTCATTTCTATCTATCGATCTCTCATTTCATTTCTAACGATCTCAGTGTTTTCTTTCTATCGATCTATCTCAGTGTTCATTTCTATGTTTATTTCTATCTATCTATTTGTTCATTTCTTTCTATCTCAGTGTTCATTTCTATCTATCTATCTATCTATCTATCTCAGTGTTCATTTCTAACGATCTAAGTGTTCATTTCTATCTATCTCAGTTTTCATTTCTAACGATCTAAGTGTTTATTTCTATCTATCTATCTCAGTGTTCATTTCTATCTATCTATCTATCTCAGTGTTCATTTCTATCTATCTATCTATCTCAGTGTTCATTTCTAACGATCTAAGTGTTCATTTCTATCTATCTATCTATCTATCTCAGTGTTCATTTCTAACGATCTAAGTGTTCATTTCTATATATATATATATCTATCTTAGTGTTCATTTCTAACGATCTAAGTGTTTATATCTATCTATCTATCTATCTATCTATCTATCGTAGTGTTCATTTCTAACGATCTAAGTGTTCATTTCTATCTATCTATCTATGTGTTCATTTTGCGACCACCCCACAAGAGGGTGATCAACAGTCGCTCGATCGCCTGCATACGTTTCCAGTAAAGAGGAAGTACAGCCAAGTGGTAAAGGTTGTGGGACAAGACGTAAGTGGCACAGGTTTCAACCCTATCCTTCGAAGCCAAGTTCGAACCGGCACTCCAACTTTTGCCTTTACTTCTGACCAATACTTCTTCCGCTGGAGTCTAGGCGCGAACCACACCCCAAGGATGTGGACGGGCCCATCAATCCAACCGAAGGGCTCCGGAAGTGCGACCCCCACTCCAGGCACCTAACCGCAAGCCGGAAGACTTGTTGCGGTTAATCTTGGCCCCATCACCTTCTCATACTGTTCAAGTGCTTTCTGCACCACCTTAATGTCGCTGCGGCACGACACAAAGATGGATACGTCATTGGCGTACGCAGAAACCCAACCTCGAGCACTACCGGGGAAAACAGCGATTCCGCGTAGAGCCGGACAGCACGCCTTGTCCCTTAACCGGCGAAGGAAGGGATCCAGCACCAAAGCGTAAATTAAGGGCGACAATGGACATCCCTGTTGGAACAACCGAGTCAGCGCAAAAGCGCTCGACCCCCTTCCGTCCATCTGTATCACAGCACTGGGGGAGCGATACAGGAGGCTAATCCACTTGCAGAGGTCGGGTTCGAATCCAGCGGCCTGCAGGACAGCCGCCAGGTACTGATGTGCCTGTAAAAATCCGGCCCAACACCGTTGCCCTTTTTCAACAGCGTGATCACACCCCTTGAAATTCGGTTGGAGATGAACACCTGCCGGAACCAGGTGTTGAACACCTCTGTCAAAATCGGGACAAAGATGTGCGACAACGTCAAGTACATTTTGTAGACCATCAAGTCCCGGAGACTTGCCTTTGCCGACCTTCTTCAATGCAAAGTAGACTTCATCCTGTGTGATCTCATCCTCGCAGCTAACCACGTCAGTCTTTGACGACTGACGCGGTTAGCTGCGAAACTCGTCACAACTGAGACCAGGCTCCTTGATAAAACGGCTCTCGAAATGCCGCCGAAACGTCTCGTACATGTCCTCGGTTGAGGGGCGCTCTGGGGTAATGACCGCGTGAATGTATCGATCGTAACCTTGATGGATCTCTTCCTTGAGCAATTCTTCGCCCGTATTCACGGCTTCGTTAGACATCTTGTTTAACCTATGTCTAACTACCTGACCCTGGTAGCGCTTGCTAGCCACGCGCTGCGGGGCCTGCCTAGCTACGGCTATTTCTAGGGACCCCCAGTCACCGCCCTGGACAGACTATCCTCTAGAGTCTTCTAATTTGTAGCCTTATCTAAAGCGATTCGTTGGCTATATTCTGTGGTGAAGGACCTAATCCTATCCTTAAGCCTCTCCCACCTCCTACTACCAATAACCGCCCCATTAATCCCCGCTACACTAATCTAGTCATCTGTTGCTGAAAGTCCTGCCTGTTCAGTAAGGACAGATTGAACTTCCAGTGTCCAGTGATTCTAGGCTTGGCACTTAACACCATCCGGGCACAGACGAGTCAATGATCCGAATAGTCTAAACGGTGGAACGTTGGGACAACCTAGTAAATCTAGATCGGTCTTTCTCACTAACATTCTGTCCAGGTAGCTGGCTACCTGGAAAGACGGCCAACCACGTGCCCACGTCCACGTCTCCCCTTCGGATGATCGACCCGGTATCTATTGACGAGCCCAGAGTCGCCTATCAGATCAACCAGGCTGCGATCGCCCGATGCCTTCCCGCTAGCTCCACCTCCCCGCTATCTTGGCGTCCAGGATGGCATTCAAGTTCCCCATTAAAACCAAGCGCGACAAATCAACCAGGAACGGTCCCAACTGACGAAAAAAGTAGGCACGCTCCCCCTAGTCGTTGGACACATAAACCGCAACGACTCGAAACGAATCACTGCTCACGGCAATATCAGCCACGATCAACCGCCCTCCGTCCCGCGTCGACCTGAACAAGGTCCAACCTCGCATCTAGGGAACGATTATCTAACAAGGAAACACCCCTGGTCAGCTGGCCCCCGTGTGCTGAATAAACAACAAAGTCCCTAGACAGCACACGAGCATCAAAGTCGCAAACAAAGTGTGCCTCCTGGATCGCAGCTACATCTACGTCGAAGGACAGAAGATCGCGAAGAAGACCCCGATCTCTGAAGCCCCTCACATTCAAACTGGCTAGCTTGATAGACATAATTTAAATCTGAGTCCCTTAAACGCAGACTGGACGGAAATCTGCAGGTGTCAAAACCCCCACGGATTGTCCCAGGCTCCCCGTACCTAACTCTGTCGTCTTGCGACCATCTGAGACAAACCCACCAAAGTCCATAGGGTATGTTAGCTTACCTGTACTATATACCGAGCTATGGAGTAATACAGGGACCCTCCCTGAACAGAATTTGAACATTTTTTTTAAATTGGATGAGTGTAACTCAAACATTTGAGAACACATCACTACATTCAAATGATTCCACACTTTCAGATATCTCCCCCGTATCCCTGTTAAAAGTAATTTCCCCCCATGAGCCTCAGAAAAATTACGGGGGTCCTCCACCGACTTGCCGACAACGGTGGTTAATTTAAAGAGTGGACCTAGAAGGGCTTTTCTTTTTTTGCCGACAAGCCCTTCTCTAGGTCTTTTCTATCCACCTTATATATTAAATCTGGCCCAGGAAAATATTTCTTTTCTTTTCCTCTTTTCCCTGGGTGGAGCGGTAGAAGTAGACGCGAGAGTGGGGGGGGACACTGAACTGAGGGTGTAAATGGAAGGAGAGGAGGACGGAAGACGGGAAGGGGAGGAAGGGAGGCTCCTTTGTTTTGGAACTGCAAAAGGACTTACTTTAGGGGATGCAGGGACGGATAGGGACCCTGGTTTTGATCATGTACCTATCCGCCCTACTTTTCGTCTGGCGTATTCATGACTGGTCACTTCTTCCTCCTCCTACTTCGTCCCTACTCCTCTTCAATGTTGAGGCACGAGGTGGAGGCATTTTCGTTTACCTCCATCTCCGTGTCAGGTTGCTGCTGCTGTTTTGTAGGCTGTTTTTTTCTCCTTCACCTGCTGCTCCTCCGCCTCCTTTAGTCGCTCCTTGTTTTGCCGCTGCTTTTTGGGAGACAGCACATCGTGTTTTGGAGTAGTGGGCACACTTGTAACTTTCCGTCCCTTTACCTTCTTCCATTCCCTATCAGGGGCCTTCCCTGTTGCTACTACTTTTGCTGATACTGTTGTTACTGTTGCTGTAGTCACTGGGCGGAGTGGAGGCTGTGAGTTCTTGGCGGAGAACGCTTTAGACATGTGACCCAATGTTCCGCATGACCAACAATACGGTTTTCACCCCTCCATCATCACCGCAAACATCCGTATGGTTGCAAGAAAGAAATACGACAACAGCAGAAATAGATTTACGTGGTTTATTTCAACAGGAACGTGTGGGTTTGGGACAGCTACCTTGTGGTAAAGTTCATAAGCCGGCTTCGGATCTAGGTCGATCTTCTCATAGTAGTTCACACATGTTGACGGTGGTTGATGCTCTCCTGCTGTCAGCTGCTGACCGCTCGGCCTGGCCACCTGTTGACTGCCTGTTGAACTTCCGTGTGACTCCTTTTATAGCGTTTTTTATGGCTTAACAGGCTCGAAAAACGAAGCGAGTATAATTAGGAGGGAAGCATTTTTATTGGACGAAAAATAGAACACTTTAATTATTATTTTATTTTTCGACCGGAACTCGTGTGTCGGGAACATTTGTAAACGAAAATAATGGTCATTTTGTGACGGGACTTTGTCCCGTTCACATCCGGCTCTCGCTCTTGAGTATTTGCTTGTAAATCAGCCGAGATATGTCTTATTGTATTTTATAACAAGGCTCCCCAAGATCTCGGTCTAATTCACAGTGAGTGTTATTCGTGTATATTTGGGTGATTAATTCATGATAAAGTCTCTGAAGCGTGTGGGAAGTTGTCCTCGTGTTTTTCTTATTGGCATTTGTTTTGGTATGGGGTTATTTGCTGAATTATGTGTCCCCGAGGGATGTGGAGGAGAATGATCCTGGTGACTGTTACATGGTGGAGGCAGAGGGATTGTATTAGAAAGATGTGTTGGGCGTGGAGCCACTCGTCGGATATGTGCACGGTGAATCCAGATTGTATCACCATCATCGTTTTGTACCTGACAAATCGTATTGTTCGTTTTTATAATTGTGTAATTTCCTATCCAGGGCAAATGAGAGAATTGGGCAACAGTTGAGTGTGGCCGATGAAGTAAAACCTTGTCGCCTACTTGTATTGGGTCCTTGTATGTGAGGCGATTTAAGTTAGTCTCAAGTTTGTGGTCAGCTTCATCGTTGGCCAAGGTGACGTGGTGGTGAACCTGCTTTAACAGGGCATTAATTTTCATTCCATATGCTCCAGGATCGTCAATTGTGATTTCTTTTCTGTGTAGTGTAGGTAGGCCGATGTTGGGGTGACGACCGGTAATGGCATAATGCTGGGAGACACTGTTGGTCGTGGCATTCATGGACGAAACGACAGATTCTAGAACGTCTGTCCATTCACAGTTCCTGTCTTCGCATAACATATAAAGTGTGTTCTTCATCGTGCGATGTTGTCTCTCGATATTTCCTGAGTTTTGCGGGCGCCAAGGACAGTGAAGTTCTTGCGTGATTGACATCTGGTTACAGAATTGTCGTATAAAACTACCACAGCTAAACAAATAATAGTTCGCCTCTCTAAATGCTAATTGTTTATGACAGAATAATTAAATAAAAGGAAAAAGTCTCACGGCCAACAAATACGAAAAAATAAAATCAAACAAAAAAAAGTGAAAAATTAAAGCACGTAAAAATTAAAAATGAACAACAAAAATAAATACGAAAAAGAAAAATACAAGTGAAATAAAAACGAATGGAAACAAGGAAACAAATTTAAAGAAAAGAAAAAATCAACAAATAAAAACAGGTACACAAAAAATAAAAAGGAAAACTGAGAAATTCAAACATTTCAACAAAATAAACATAATAAACTTAACTATTTATAAGCAGGCAAACTTTGGTTGGACTAAAGCTAAAATTTCAATGCACAAATGAATCTGTACTGGTTCAGAGGATAGACTAGAAATAACGACTTTGGAGAGAATAGAAAATGCGATCAATTAGGCGTTACGCGACTTCCTACTTATGCATTTTCTCTATGGTCACGTGGTCTACTTAATTCAATAACGGGATCGCGTATGTTTGCTCCATGGCGATCTATGTTCAAACTCAAGTGTCGGCAGTGACAACTTATTCCTATATAACACTATCTCATTGTCCATATCTATCTATCTATCTATCTATCTATCTATGTCAGTGTTCATTAATATCTATCTATCTATCTATCTATCTATCTCATTGTTCGTTTCTATCTATCTGTCTGTCTATCTATCTCAGTGTTCGTTTCTATCTATCTATCTATCTATCTATGTGCGTGTCTATGTAAATGACGAGAAAGTCTGTAAAAACTACAATTCAGTGTTCTCCAAATCCACCAAAGAACGTTTTATGCTTATACAAATGAATGCAACAACGACAACAATAATAATAAATGTATCAAGAAAATAATTGCATTATTTCTACTCTATTTTCCTTCTCCTCTTGTTTATGACAAAAATTGACAAATATCTATCTATCTATCTATCTAAGTATTTATTTCCATCTATCTATCTAATTGTTCACATCTGTCTATCTCAGTGTTCGTTTTTATCTATCTATCTATCTATCTATCTATCTATCTAATCAATCTCGGTGTTCATTTATATCTATCTATCTATCAATCTCGGTGTTCATTTATATCTATCTATCTATCAATCTCGGTGTTCATTTATATCTATCTATCTATCAATCTCGGTGTTCATTTATATCTATCTATCTCGGTGTTCATTCATATCTATCTATCTATCTATCTCGGTGTTCATTCACATCTATCTCTATCTATCTATCTATCTCGGTATTCATTCATATCTATCTATCTATCTATCTATCTATCTCGGTATTCATTCATATCTATCTATCTATCTATCTCGGTATTCATTCATATCTATCTATCTATCTATCTATCTATCTATCTCCCAGTATTCATTCATCTATCTATCTATCTATATCTATCTATCTCATCTTCATTTATCTCTATCTATCTATCTATCTATCTATCTATCTATCTATCTATCTATCTATCTATCTATCTATCTATCTCAGTATTCATTTATATCTATCTATCTATCTATCTATCTCAGTATTCATTTATATCTATCTATCTATCTATCTATCTCAGTATTCATTTATATCTATCTATCTATCTATCTATCTCAGTATTCATTTATATCTATCTATCTATCTATCTATCTATCTCAGTATTCATTTATATCTATCTATCTATCTATCTCAGTATTCATTTATATCTATCTATCTATCTATCTCAGTATTCATTTATATCTATCTATGTGCGTGTCTATGTAAATGACGAGAAAGTCTGCAAAGACTGCAATTCAGTGTTTTCCAAATTCACCAAAGAATGTTTTATGGTTATACAAATGTATGCAACAACAACAACAATAATAATAATAATAATAGTAATAATAAATGTGTCAAGAAAGAAAACAATTGCATTTTTGTTTAGTCTATTTTCCTTTTCTCCTGGATGAAGTTGTTGACTGCATAGTATTGTTACGAGGATGCTTTTCTATAATAAGGGATTCCTTTGAGTTCTACTTGTTATTACAAAAAAGTTTTCATTCATGAAGTAGTTGTAAAATAGAGAAATTAGAAATAGAATGTTTGGAAGATTCTAGATCATTCTAGTATATTCGAGAAAAATCTAGATGATTTGAGAAACATCTAGAAAAATGCAAATTAGGTGTTAGCCCCTATAAAAATGGGATTTTGGAAAAGGGTTGTCAGTTGATGAATGAGAATTTCTGCTGTTATCAACTCCGGCTTTTGATTCAAGGACTATTATATCCAGCCGAAAGAATCTCTATAAAAAGTTGCCGACCAACCAAAACCCAAAAGAGAATTTCATGGAACAAAGTTGGTAAATAGAATTTTGACTAATTTTCATTGACCAAACTAAAAATTAATATTTATTTACACACCTTTGTGGATTTCCAAATATAGCACTTAGATTACTTCACTAGCCCTAAAAGTAATAAAGATATTTGACTCCTTTCCTTCTCCTCGTAACACTTTGCCAGTAACTCTGTGTTTTCTGTTTTGTAGGCCACAATTGTTTATCTTGTATATATTTTATGTTCTGTTTTATTAAATTAAATATTTGTTTATGATTTAGCTCTGTGTTGTGGTAAATCATTTTTTTTTCCTTTGTTACAATTATCAACACGTAACAGTATCATGATGTCAGGATAGGACAATATACTCATTGGTATGTCTATTCGAATTATGGTATTGAAATCCCAGATACATTGTGCAAACACCACCCGAATTATGTCACAGTTTATGAAGTTAATATACTGTAGAATTTTCCAAATCCTCACAGTCAGGAAAAATTGATGCAAATAGACCAAGGATAATAATAAAAGATTTCAAGAAAAGGAATCTGCCAACAAATTGACATGATTGTCCAAAGGATTCCAATGTTTCTAAAGAAAGAATTTCAAAAACTCACAAATTATAAGGACCTGCAAATCGAAGTAACAAAAATCTGGAAACTTAGAACTACGATTATACCTGACGTGATAAGGGAATTGAGTATGACAAAGAATGGTACAGAAAATCATTTGATTAAAATTCCTGGACATATCCGCATCTCAGAGTTACAAAAAAATATTTTATAAAGAACTAATCATGTGATCCTCAAAACACTATCCATCTTAACGGGACATCCCTACTGTGACCTTTTTACACATAAACCCACAGAGTGAACCTACCCCCCCAGTAACGGCATTCACCCGAGGTGGGTTGAGCTGGCTCCAATATTGGAGTTTCATGGGAATTTAGAATTCACAAGCAGTCCCCAACTGCATATATAGCACATGAGATTTGATGATAGTGGTGAAGGTTTCGTGCAGGACCATTCACACTTTTTGAAGGGCCGATTACAGAGACCTGGTGCACTACGTGCCAAAAGGTCCCCAAACGACCCTCCGTAGGTTTTGAATTCAGATCAAACTAGACCAGTTGCCATCCAAGGCTATAGAACCCAGTCTGTCCTGCTATTTACCCATAGCAGGAGGGAGAAGAAGAGGATTCCCACCTTTCTCAAGGATATTAGCACGTAAGTGAATGTAATGGATTCGACTGGAATATCGAACTCGGCTCTCCGATTCCTCAATCCGAGCCGCTATCCATTACTCCACCGTGCCTCTTCAACATAGAGTGAAGCTAGTAATTAGCCACTTAAAACTACTGTCTGACAAAAAATTGTGTTCGTCCAAAATGTAGACTCTGTGATAAATATCCAGAAACAATTGGCCATCTTGTATCCGGTTGCACGATATTGGCATCCAATGAATATAAAACACGTCATAACAGAGCGGACCAATATCTGCATTGAAAAATCTCCAACTTCTACGGAAAGGAAACTGAAAGAAACCCAGACTCGGTTACGGAGATAGGAGCTGTAATAATTTTATGGGACTGCATAATACAGACAGAACAATCAAAATTAATAGCCCAGATATCGTTATTAAAGACCGCAAACAAAAAAAAATTGACTTCTTATTGATATGGCTGTCCCTGCAGATTGCAATGTATCTTTCAACGTTTTCAAAATACAAGGACCTTGAAATCGAAATCTCAGAAATGTAGCACATGGTAACATCAACAAACACTGTTGTAGTTGGAGCCCTCGGATTGATTGAAAAAGATTCCAATAGACTCATTGAAGGGATTCCTGGTAGTCCATGCCTTAAAGAAATTCAAAAAATTGTTCACATGAGTACAGCCCATACCTTACGAATGGCTTTAGCTTTGTAAAGTGTGTGTGTGTGTGTGTGTGTGTGTGTGTGTGTGTGTGTGTGTGTGTGTGTGTGTGTCCGTGTGCGTGTGTGTGTGTGTGTGTGTGTTTTTTCAATTTATTTAAGATTTTTTAAAAATTCTCAGTGGAAAATGTCATGCTGCTATTTCTGATCTGAGGCCTCTGGACGGAACCCGGAAAGAAATGAGTAGACACCAGAAATCAAAGGAAATAAAATTATTATTATTATTATTATTATTATCATTATTCCTGGGAATATTCCCGAAGATTTTCGGATTTGAAGGCAAAAGAAATCAGAAGAATAGTTGAAATTATGGGTGGGAACAATTAAAGATGAAGGAGAATAATGATGATGATGATGATATGATGGTGATGATGATGATGATGATGGTGATGATGATGATGATGATATAAAGAGGAAAGATATCAAAATAGCAAAGTGTGGGTGAAGAAACACTGACCTCTGTCCAAAGATTATGTTGTAAATGACATTAAACACGCCATCGGCGAGATGTTTCTTGAGAACGAAAGGTTTGCCGTTGTGGGCTTCAATGGCATTGGAAACTTCCAGAATTTCTTCATGTATTTTCTCTTCTAAACTCATTTTGCCCATACCAAAATTTCGAAGAGTTGAGATCGTGAATTTTCTTAAGTCTTTCCACACGTGTCCTGTGCTGAACAAAACACCTGTTCATGGAAAAATAAAAATAAACTGAAAATTGATAAAACATTTGAAAAACACAGAAACTTACTACGTTATCATTATTCTTACTGTCAGTGATAAATTCTAGGCGACTGTATTTGAGTCAAATAATTTGTAATTTTATTGGCAACACTTTTATGTCCATCTAGATATACATACATACATTGCACACACACACACACACACACATACATATATATATATATATATATATATATATATATATATATATAATCGTCTTTATATTTATAGATTTTTCAAATGTACTCATGATGCAACACTTAAAATGGTACTAATAATGTATGTATATATATATATATATATATATATATAAGCAAATATATGGATATAGATCCGACAGTATTAAGAAAAATATACAGAAAAAACAAACAAAAATCTTAATATGCAATTATGCTGTATTAATGTTAATATAAAGTCGACGTCGTACGTTTCGGTCTATTTAAGACCATCTTCATGGACATTTTCATTTAAACATAATTAACATCATCTTTTGTGTTAAATTTTTATATGTTCTAATGTTAATTATGTTTAAATGAAAACCGAAACGTCCGACGTCGACTTTATATTAACATTAATATAGCATAATTGCATATTAAGATTTTTGTTTGTTTTTCTGTATTTTTCTTCATATATATATATATACATATGTGTGTGTGTGTGTGTGTGTGTGTAATGGATGTTTGATATCATTCTGCATTTTATATACCCTGTATTCACAGAAGATATGTACAATATTGAGTTCTAAACTGCATATAATAAGACATAAGGACGTAGAATGAATAGAAAAATTCTCTTGTGCCAATGTACAATATTGTGTTCTATGGCATAAAGACGAATGATGAATAGAAACATTCTCTTGCGCCATGTTGTGGATATATTCATGCAGCACTTAGAAAAGTTAGTTACTATTGTAAATATTAGGTTGGTGCAAAAATAATGACGTAATAATGTCGTTTTTTGACGTTAAAAATACGTCACAAAACGACATTATTACGTCATTATTTTTGCACCAACCTAATATATATAACCAATGTTTAGTACCATTCAACTTTTTATTAAATCTGTATTTAGCCTACACAGCAAGATGATAACCAAAGAAGTAGAAAACCTGCCATGAATTATTATCGACAGACATAATCTTAACAACATAAGATGCACAGATGACACTGTATTAATGGCAGATTCTGAATGAAAACTGAAAAAAAATATCCTAGACAGAGCAATAAAGGAAAGCGAGAAGAAAGGACTGTCAACTGGAAGAAAACAGAATGCATGGTCCTCAGCAAGAGAGACGGCCAAATGTATGATCTACAAAATGTAAGATCAATATCATTCAAATATTATCTGGATAGAATAGTAGCAGACATAGCAAATGTGATACCGAAATCCGAAGTAGAACTGAAATGACGAAAAATGACTTTCGGAAATTAAACAAAGTATTAAGAGACAAGAAAATTTCGCTAGAAGCAAAGAAAAAAAACCTGAACTTTTATGTTATACCAATCTTCCGATTTGTCTGTGAATACCGGACAATTTCTTCACAAATTTGATTGTCCCCGTTCCTCTGTCCATGAATAGGGATATCTAGTCTTGTTCTTTTTTTTTTTTTTTTTATACTGCTCCATTAAGGCTAGATCTTTTTCCACAGTCTGCGCCTGTACTATTTTCGTTGGTGCATAATTATCAGGCGTTTTTTTTAAATAAAATTTCTTATCAAAAAAGAAACACAACAATTCAACAATAACATTTTAAAATGAATATGATTATCAACAGCCATTTTTATAACCTGAAAATAAATTATTTT